TTTTTTGCGGAATATATAGCAAAGGCTGTGTTTTCATATAGAACCCCTGCTTCTTCTGCGTAAAGAACTCTTGTGGGCAAGGCGATATCTTAAGGATGCGAAAAGAAGGGTAGACGCTAGATGTCGATAATAATATATTTCACACCGGACACATTTTTTAAAAAAAGCATGGCTTTTAAACTGGCCTTAGTCTGAAAGTTACTGTATTTTTTTTTCCCGATATATTTTACTTCAGCCGGCCTGGCTGGTTAGACGTTTTTCCCCCTTTTTCAGGACACCTAAATTGGCTCAAACGGAGAACATACTTAATTAATTGAAAACTCCCTAAGTGGGAGGAGCAGAAGAAGTAGATGTGGCAATAAAGATGTCACTCGGCTGCTTTGAAAGAGATGACGCAGTCGGAAGAAGGCTTCTTGTGAAAATTAACCATTCTAGCTTACGACGAAGCAAGCGAGTGCACTGTTTATAATAAGAAAAAACATGCAAATAAGAGGTAGCTTAGGTTCGATTTCCGCCGTTTTCTGAGATCATCACTGATCCGTTGGATGATCCTACAGGGGAGGAACGTGGGCTCATCTCCTGAATAGCGGCTGATACTGGTAGTGTCAAAGTGAAAGTGGGTGCTGGCGTCAGAGGGATAATTTCAAAACACTCACATGTCAGTTCATTTGCTACAGAACAAAGGAATGTTCCAAATTCAACCAAATTAATCTCCAAATTTCAATACAGTTAATTGCTGTGCCATTAGAATTTGGCATACCATCACCTTTTCATGAAGGTCAAAAGTATAAAATGAACCAGTTGTATCACTTAAAATAGTCAAATTGACATTTCTAAAAATGACAATTGCCTGCTTGTAAGTTGTGAAAGTATTCATCAATGCTAAACGAAAGGAAAGGCAAGGATAAAGGATGTCATTCGCATTGGTCAACCCTTGTCGTAGCCTGCGTACAGACGCTATGAGAATTATCTAGCGTCTGCACGCAGGCTACCCTTGTCGGCGCTCTCTATATTTTATGCTGTAAATATCACAATCAAGGTTTTGTCCTTCAAAACTCGCGAACCGCCGCCTTTCGCCAAGACCAACACATTTTGAGGAATGTTCAATGTCATTGAGCAAACGACAACTTAATGTTGTGCTCGAGAAGTTTTCTTTTGACTCAAAGGTTGAAAAACAATTGGACTCGACGGTCGAACGGATGCTCTCCACGGATGAAATCGACTTAGAATTTGTCTCAAAGCCCAAACAGTCATTTGAGTTTGCAGTTGAATGGTTGGCTTCAAAGAGCAACACACATTTTGAATCTATGATTGCAAGCTTTTCTTTCGCCTCAACGGGCAAATGTAACTCAATGGTCGAATTACTGTACTTGCCTCAACGGGCATTGCTCGAAATCGATCGATATTTCCACGTGCATTTTATGTAATGTCATCTCAAGTACCCCGGACATAAAAAGCGCAATCGGCTGCACATATCTCCGATCTTACATCCGACAAATTTTGGCTTTTTCTCGCTATTGTAAAGAATAGGCTGCTGCCTCGCTAGGGCTCGCCAGCAATAATCGAGCCTTGAGAAAGCGTGGCCGAGTCCTGAAATTGAAATCTCTTGGTCCCATGTTCCACCCTGTCACCCACTGGTTTAGCTGTCGGTTGCTCTCCAGATTCAGCTCCTCAGCTAGGTTTTGTGGACAGCCTGTCTCAAGGCAGTTGGTAGATTCAACCAGTTTCTATTTATTTGACATATTTTTTTCGTTGATTGTTTACATTAGCCTTAAAAAGCCACATTGATGGAGCTGTCAATTAATTTCTCATCATTATTATCTCATTAACATTATAAACAAACAATTTTAACAAATGACTGTAAATGAAGAGGTTATTTTTTTCATCAGGAAGTAAGTGGTAAATTTTGTGACAACAAATGTTATTTATTTCATGAGCATAACATGCCAGTCACACATACTGTCCAGTTTCCGATCATCCAGGCCGGTTTATCTGGGAACCAGTTGATAGCAGTGCTTAAGGCATCTTAGACTTGCTCACAAGTCGTGCTTTTAAGCGCGTAGCGCGACAGTGAGCGCGAAGCGCCACAGTGAGCACGAAGCGCGAGCGAGCCCAGCCGAGCGAGCGAAAGCGCGACGTTCGTGCGGGTCCTACCACACCAGAACAGAAAACCAAGCGAACGACTTTGAGAAAAGTCTAAAGGCATCTGAATGGGCTACCCTGAATAAATAGAGTTTTCTCTCTCTGAGCTCTTCCTTTAAAACTAAAATAATTGATTCTAATTCTCGCCTGATCTCGTACCCAGACCTTTCACGGCCAAACGGTCGCAAGGTCTCTACATTTCAGTTACACGGTAGGATCTGGCTAAGAGATTATTTTCGCCTCGTTGTGGCTTTTACTTCTCGGATTTTGGAGGGATCACGTGGTCTCAGGGGAAACAGAGAGAGGTTTGGTCGTCACCAACAGAGTATAAAAGGAGGACCATAGAAAATTCGCTGTCAATTAACCGCCAATGGGTGG